GGGCGACGAACAGACTTTTGGGGGAGGGAAGGGGAGGGGAGGCATACATCAGAAGGGGCAGGATGGGGGGAGGGGAAGAAAGAGAGTGCAGGGCGGAGTAATGGTAGACAGAAAGGAAGAGAAACGCATAGATCGGACCTGCATCTGAGCATGCGGGTGGGGGAGAGGAGAAGAGAGAAGAGAGACTGCACGGCGGGGAAAGGGCAGACAAAGAGAGGAAGAGAAACCGATATAGATAGATCAACAAGGTCGAAATTAATTAAACATCCTGTCCAGCCATAGACAAAGCGGACGATGGCATGAGCTCGGTTGTGGATTCCTTGATTCATTCATTCCCAACTGAAATAATAGTGTGAATGCGAAGCCATGCTGATGCACGCAGGTCGATAGAGATCGAATCGGACCAGAAAAGCGATCACATACGTTCATCATGTTCGCAGCATGGGCATGCGTGAGGTCGCCGGCCTCGATTTCAATCGATAATAATGGATTCCTGTATCTTTCAAAACAAGAAAAAACGATCAGGACACGTAAACCAAGCAGTGCAGAGTCAATTACAATCAATAGAAAAAAAAAAGAAAAAAAGTATAGATTACGAAGGAGAGGGGTGAAAGCGCAAAACAGGAACCAAGACAGGAAGAAAAAAAAAAGGAGAAGTAATAAGGCAAAAAACTGAAAAACGATACGGAGCGAGGAGTGAACTCACTGGGTAAAAGGTAAAAGACGAAAGAACAGAAAAGGGAGGGAGAGAGAGAGAGAGAGTGAATAGAGAGTGAATAAAGGTTTGTGTACATTAACGAAACAGGAAATAAAGCAAGGAGTAGGAATCGCATGAAATTCAGGAACACAATGATGCTCCCGCTTCGCCGTCTAAAACTACCGATAGTCAATTTTTCCTTCGACAGATTCAATCAATCCGTCTCCGTAAAAGCCCTGATCGGCCCTGTAAGAACTCTCTCTCTCTCTCTCTCTCTCTCTCWCACACACACACACACACACACACACACAAAGGCCCTGATCGGCCCTGTAGGAATTCTCTCTCTCTCTCTCTCTCTCTCTCTCTCTCACCCTGGTCTCAGAAGGTATAAAATGGCAAAAAAGGAACCAGAAGTGCGAAGGCTACCACATCAATGAGAAGAAAAACGAGGTAGGTACCTTTCCTGCTCAGCCCTCCCACCAGGGAATAACTTTGAATAAGTCAATTTGCCTTCAGAAGAAGCCAGCAGCCGGATCGGGAGAACACCGACTGCGTCAGAGATGAAACTAGATTTCGACGATCATGATTCACCAACGCTAATCTCAGATAGACACGTGATCGTAACAAGGATCCAATGCAGAAACTACCAGCAAGGGAGAGGAAGCACAACCAGGGAAGGAGGTTTGACGAGCTACTCACTCCCTTCCCCTCAACCAATGTCTCCTCCCCCCTCTGTATACGGCAGTTTCAAGTCGCAGCAACAGAGCACCAATGGCGATCGCCACTTCCCACCTCTCTCTCTCTCTCTCTCTCTCTCTCTCTCTCTCACACACACACACACACACACACACACACACACACACACACACAAAGAAGAAAAGCACCGGGGAAAGAGAACTATCAGGCACATTCCGCTCATCTTCTCTCCCTTCCAGCGCCTTCCACCCTTCTCTGCAGTACACAGCACCATTCTCAGCTGTCAAGCACGGGAGGGTGGCACCACAAAAAACCAGAAAATGTAAACTCTCGGCACAGATAAGCCCTCGAGCAGATACAGCAGACATAGCCTGACATGGATGCTACGCTCCACGTGTACAGATAGTAAGCCCTCGAGCAGATGGAGCAGACATGTCAGATGTGGGACAGGGATACGACCAAATTGCCGTCGATCCACACATTCAAACACCAAGACGACCCTTCCATTCCCGTGAAAAAGGGTTTTACCGTACCACAGCAAACACGTTAGCCCACATCGTTAAACAGAGTTCCAATGAGAAGGACGAAGGCTGGACATCAGCACCTTTCAGCTTCGGCTGCCGTACCGCGCTCATAGCTGACAAATTCCCCTAGGCTCGCAGATGTTTTGGAAAAGCCGCCCGTTAAGTTACATCGCCCCACCGCGTTCAGCACCAAGTTTTCGATCACGTAACCCCCTCCCCCTCCTACCTTCCTACAAATTGTGTCCCATCATCAAATCCACGAATCTGATCCACCACCTTGCTGGCTAACCCCCCCCCCCCCCCCTCCCCCACCTCCTTTCTCTTCTTTCGCTTCCCCCCGCAGTAACATCGGACGCTTTCCCCGATCTGCTAGACCCAAGACCATCCACACCCGTCGTCATTTGGAAGAGAATACCGCCCACCAGCACAACCTTGCTGCTGCATCAAAGAAATATATATATACGTTAAACGTGGCAAATCCCGTCGATGAATAATTGAAGTACTTAGAAGAGGTAAGATCGGCTCCAAGAGAAGCCAAAGTCGATCGATGTCGTCAGACTCTTTCCTTCTCCATTTACTACAAGTATATTATTATTGTTGTCGTCCTAGATCTGTGTTCGTGGCCAAAATGACAAAGCTAAGTGTCTGTTCCGTGCCCAAGCGATCCTCTCCTCTTCTCTTCTCCTTTATTGTAGGACCCCCCACTCAGATAAATAGATATAAGCAGAGGGGAGTCACTGCTTTCGCCCGCCCAAGAATTGAAGCCATCTCTCTTCTCTATAGAACTTCCACCCAAGATCTGAAGTCATCTCTCTTCTCTTTAGAACTTCCGATCAGACATACGCAACTCCGCCATACACCGCCTGCTTGCTAAGCAACGAGGCGACACTCGTCTAAGAGAACGATCACTCGCTCAAAACCAAACACGAAGGTTGGCTTTCGCGTTTGTCGAAACGACAACGCATCATAACAGACACACCTCTATCAACATGAGCTCTCGCTTTAGCGAAGGAAATCACGTGATAGAGAAAGAGAGCACACGAGAGTGAGACGAGATCGCTAGGCAAACTCGATCTATATCGACGGTGATAAAGAGAGAGAGAGAGAGAGAAGATAAACAGAGAAGAAAGACGATCCACTGCAGGTCTGGAAGGTAGACGTCATGTGCTCGGTGATAAACAAGATCGAGAGAGAGAGAGAGAAAGGAAGCGTGAGACGATGAACAGAGAAGAAAGACGATCCACTGCAGTTCTGGAAGGTCGACGTCATGTGCTCGGTGATAAACAAGATCGAGATCGAGAGAGGGAAAGGAAGCGTGAGACGATAAACAGAGAAGAAAGACGATCCACTGCAGTTCTGGAAGGTCGACGGTCATGTGCTCGGTGATAAACAGGACAGGAGAGAGCTATACAAACAGAAGGATTGTACAAGCGTCGTGCTTTTCCCTTCCGGGCACTTCAAATCGGTTCGATGATAGTGCTGGAAGGGATACCCGCAAGCAAATAAGATGATCGACAAGCACGTGCGCGCATAATTAGTGTGGTGTAACGCCCAGGCAGCCATGTGGCACAGGCAGAGAAATCTCGCCGGGGGGGGGGGGGGGGGGGTTCATTGCCGCCAACTTGCATAAGTCGACAAGTGGCTCGATTCGACGCGATCAGCGGACACATGGCTCGATTCAACGCGATCAGCGGACACGTGGCTCGTTCTTGTCCTCCTTCAAATCACCGATGGCTTGTGGACAAGACGGTCCACAAGTCCTTGGGAAGGAAGTGGCAGTAACCGAGGGGATTCAAAAACTGTATGAATCAAAAACTAATACGCGACTCCCACAGAGGAAGAACACGACACACAGCTACCCATTTCATTTCACCCTAGACGAAAATTTTATGCGCCTCCCTCTCCCAACCAACTTTCTAAATCGGAGTTAACTGCCACTTCCTGCCATCAATCAATTACTCTGACTCTCGCTTGTTCCACTGTCCCCACTAATCGAACCAATCTACCAAGAAGCTAAATTGATAAATCGCGCCAACGCAATCGACGATTCTGTCATCATGGCCCAATCATGCTGGCTCGCTAGATTGCAGAACCCACTAATCGAACAAACCGACCTGTGAGCTTATATCACATCGCTCAATCAATCGTTCAACGGCTGCATCGAGACGCATGAGAATCGTCGTTACGAAATTATAGAGAGATGAACGGCCATTCTTATACATATCCCCATATCCAGACCCCGCCATTCCCCTCCCATTTCCCCCGTCGTTTCCCGCCATTCCCCTCCGTTTGCCTCCGTTTTCCCCTCCGAGTTTGACTCCGTTTCCCCCCTAGTTTGCCTCCGTTTTCCCCGCCGTTTGCCTCCATTTTCCCCACCATTTGCCTCCATTTTCCCCGCCGTTTGCCTCCATTTTCCCAGCCGTTTGCCTCCATTTTCCCAGCCGTTTGCCTCCATTTTCCCCGCCGTTTGCCTCCATTTTCCCCGCCGTTTGCCTCCATTTTCCCCGCCATTTGGCACCGTTGCCCCGCCGATTGCCCCTCCGTTTTCCCCTCCGTTTTCCCCGCCGTTTTTCCCTCCGTTTTCGGCGCTGTTTGCCTCCGATTTACCCGCCGGATCTTTCCGTTTTCAACACCGGTCCCTCATTTCCCCGCCGTTACCCCCCGTTCCCCCACCATTTCCCTCCGTTTCCCCGCCATCTCCCTTCCCGTTTAGCTCCGTTTTCCCACCATTTCTGTCCGTATCCTTCCGTTTCTCTCCGTTTTCCCTGCCATTTCCCTCCGCTCTGCTTGGTCAGTGCTTCACCTCGAAATCATCGCTCGCTCGCGCGCTCCTTCGATCACTGTTTGCGAATTCCAATCACGTCTCCTATCCTCCATCCTCATTTCCTGTCTACTGACCTGCCTCCTCTTCAACCTCTTTCGTACCGGCTACCCGACCTCCCCCCCCCCCCCCTCCCTTTCTTGGTCCCCCCCCCCCCCCCCCCCCCCCCCCCCCCCCCCCCCCCCCCCCCCCCCCCCTCCCGTGAACCCCCCCCCCCCCCCCTTTCTGTGTAAGCCTCCCCCGCCCAAAAAAATTCCCCCCTTCTCTTGCTTGCCTCTCTCGCCTACCCATTTACTCCCCACTCCTATACTTTTGATTTTCTTGCTCGTCACCTAGCTTCTTCTCCTCTAAAAGTATTACGCCCCTACCTTTCTTCCGCGAGTATTACGCCCCTTACCATTGCCAGTGTTCTTCCCGCTGATTTCTCGTTGATCGTCCTAAAGATCGTCTCTGCACTCACTCTTTCCCCGTATCTCCCTTCAGTCCAACCGCCAACTTCTCCCCAAGAACTCCTCCTTCCCTTCTTCCCGCCTTTTCGAACCTTGCCCAACCTGTCCTTTTATTTCTCTCTCTCTCTCTCTCTCTCTCTCTCTCTCTCTCTCTCTCTCTCTCTCTCTCTCTTTTATCGCTCTCTCTTATCGTTCGACAAATGCTCGTGCGAGGTGGTTTAAGGAAACAGATGACAGAAATATCTACAGATCTGATTAACAATATCTACGCGTGCCCGTCCATATAAACAAGCGAAGAATCGATCAATCAATCAATCAATCAATCAATCAAAATAAGAGAAAACAACAAACGAAGGAAGATACGAATCAAAAGTACGCCGCAGCGATCATCCTTGGCCCCTATTACACTAGACAGCACTCAAAGCAGCGAGATTGCGTCCACTCGTCTCGACCGAGGATATACCATCTGACGGCCAGCCTTTCGGCAGCGTGGGTCAAGAAGGAGATCAGCATCGCGACCCCGACGAACAGACATCCGATCCATGGGAAGAACGAATCGACCCGCAGCAAGAAAGGCAGCGATGGAGCGAGGATGGAGAAGAAGATCATGCCAAGAGAATATAGAAGCGTGTCGGGATCCCACACGACAATCGTCGAGGTCTTGCCGTTTCCCGTCTTCCCCTTGGACCCGGACTGCCCATACTTCTGCGCGCCATCCGCTCCTCCCCCTGCTTGCGCCGCCGTCGCCGCCGCCAGCCTTCCCCACGCCTGCACCGACTCCAAGTACTTGCCAAACAGCAGAGAAAAGGCGAGGAAAGTCCACTCGTACAGCAGCAGCAATCCTTCCCACGGCCGCACTTGCCGGGGCACGAGGTACATTGCCCCACCCGTGGAGATCAGGACGATGAAGAAGCAGACACAGACAGACACCGGCCCAAGGAAGACCGGAACACGTCCTTTCTCCCGCGTCTCCGCCACGGCGGAAGCGATGCCTGGAAGACTGCTTGAGGAGGAGGCGGGGGAAGAAATCACGGCGTAATGCGAAGATTTCTGTTGTCGCCAACAACAAAAGAAGAAGAGGGAGTGCCTCGAACCGCAGCTGCCGGCACCGCAAGAGGTGGTCACCGCCCTGAAGATCCGCCCCGCCAGCTCCTTGTAAAAGTGAAGTATCCATCGTCGATACACCACGAGCAAGGCGATGATGGGAAGAACGAACAACACGTGGACGGCACACGTCAGCCTCCACGACCCCCCCCCTTTCGCGCCACTCACAGACGCTGGTAATCGTCTCCTGATCTCCTGCCACTGATCGACAGGCTTCAGCAGCCAATCTGTCCACCAGTCCCACGGTTTCAACGGTCCCAACGTGAAATGTATGACACGCAGATCCTTCTCATCAATCATCCACTTGTTCGAATTCAAAATATAAAGACCAACATCCGCATTGTATGCCGTTGCCAGTCTCTCCATCCTTACCCCTTCCGATTGCTCCTGCTGCTGCTGCCGCTTCTCGCCGTTCGACGATCTCACTACCTCCGCACCACCACCTCCTTGCTGTCGCCCCAGCAGAGAAGAGACAGAATCCCCCCCCCGCCCCCCCTTGACGTCCTTCTCCTCATCGTCCTCCTTGTCCTCTACGTCCTCGTCGTCCCTGTCGCCATCATCATTCTCCTGCTTCTCTCCTTCCCCTTCCCCTTCCTCCTCCCCTGCAGATGACACAGCTCGAGAATCGATCTTCCGTGGTTCAAATATGCGAGCGTTAGGAAAATCGGGGAAATAGGCATTCAAAAACCCTTGATCTCCTCCGGTATACGACGGCAGCTTGTCGATCTTGGACATCATGTCTGCGTACAACGTAGCCGATGGTTCAACTACCATCACGCCGGAATTTAACCGTTCAGAGTGTTTCAGGTTGGCGCAAAAGCCTTGGCAGTCGAACATGTCTTCAATGCTCTTCACAACGATAGTGTCAGCATCGAGGTACACAAGTTTGTCGTATTGCGTCATGTTAAAGATGCGTAGCTTCGTGTAAACACCCCAGAATCGAGAAGGGTGGTTGTGAATAGGATTATCAAGAAGAACGACTCGATCGACGATCCAACCGTCCGCTTCAAGAACGGAGATGCCGGGTTCAGAAACTCCAGAAGAAACAAGAACCACCATGTCTTTCGTCGTGCCTGTTTCCCGAAGAGATTGCCCCAGCACTCGAACGCCCAATAAGAACTCGTCACCGTACAAAAGCGTCACGTAGGCGCGTTTGGACTGGGAATGCTGCTTGCGCTCCTTGCTGTTTACGTGGTACACGGGCGTGCTCTCTTGCGCACGCGCAGCACATAGCCCCGCTGGCGCCAAGGCTAAAATGAACCATGTCACCAGTATCTTCAAGGTCGCCATCTCTCTCTCTCTCTCTCTCTCTC